ACGACCGAAAAGTATAGCATACGACCAGAAAAGTATAGCATACGACCAGAAAAGTATAGTAGTGACGACATGCCGATATAACCAAACTAAACCCGGTAAAAAAGATCTATTTTTAAGTTCCCGCCTCGAAAATTACAAGAATGGTTGCGTATATTAAGTATTCCAGACTATAACAATACCCTCACAATGTTCTTTAACAATGTAAGTTAATTTCGGGTAATTGCCAGCAATTTTAATTACACGAGCGAGCGTACGTAATTATTGCTGTTTTATCACAACACACGATGTCAAAGAAGCAAATTTTTTTTCTTCTTCTTTTTAAGTCAGAAAATCCAACAACAGTACGTGAAATAAATCATACTCTCAGAAATAAACTTTATTCTCAGAAAAATCTATGCTAAGCTCATAAGAAATTATACCAGTCTCTAGGGTAAGCAATTGTTAGCTAAAGGAAGTTTTAACTACCTGTATAATTCTACTTAATAATATAGAAAATTAATTACCTGTGTAATTATGTCCATTCCCATTCGGATTGTTACATCTAAAAATAAATTTCAGCATTTTCTTCATCACTTAAATGTTTGCTAACAAACATTTTTGCAAATTGACACCAAATCAGAAATGAAGCAAATGCAATAGAAAATGAGGTGAGTAATAAAAATGAAACAAAAATATTTACTAAACGAAAGTGAAAGGAGAAATTAAGAGAGAAAGTACCTATGTAAACGATGACTTGTTTGATCAAACTTGTTCGTCTCTTGTTATATTGTGGAATCTGGGCGGCGAACTTGTGGAATTTGTGGGAACTGGGCGGTCAACTTGTGAAATAAGAAAATATTAAGGTGTCTCCTATTTGCTATTTTATTGTTTTTATATTCCTTTCATAATTATTTTAAATTATTGGGCGACTTTTTTTCTTTATTTAACATAAAAATTTACAAATGGATTTTTCTTTCTTTTTTTCTGGAAAATTGGTTTCTTCAAAGAGAGAACATAGAAATTTAGCTTAAGTAGCATTCGTGTTTACCATTACGACTGGACCATTGAAGGATTGTATCTAGCCGGATGTAAACATTGTGCACAAAAACCATACCAAAGAACGTATATTCTGCATAGGGCCCTAGAAGTTTATACATCTTAGTTTCGATATATGGGTACATTTTAGATATCACTTATATTTTACCGGTTGTGTTATAAATTCTTTTAAAAATGGTGCAATTCATATGCACGAGCCTTCAATTATTCTATATTCCGGTTGCAACATTGAAAAATTTGCAACCTGAAAATATCAAACCAAATGATGATTACAATTAAAACCAAGACTTAATTTAACGGACACAAAAAACTGTAAGTGCAAGATTGTTGACCATATTTTTCTACCGTCTTCTGATCGCTTCGATAGTTTTTTATGTTCCAGTTCAATAAGAGAAATTGGTCAGCCTTGCCTTAAATTGCTATTGTTTACGGAACAAATAATCGGTAGACGTACTGTAATGTATCTCAAGCTAAACAAGAAGTGAAGTTCCTTATTTGTACTTTAAGCCTACATACTATCATTTTGATAATTCATTTATCATTATATACAACGCATGGAGGATGTTTAATAGAAGCTAACAAAAAATGGGATTCTTCCACAACTCCTTACAAGCGCAACAATTTTCGTGGTTCATTCTACGTTTGGACCGAAGGAACTGAGCTGTTAGATTCTGAGATGTTTTGGGTAATTCGAACACTTGGTATTAGAAAATTTTCTTTTTCCGAACCCCTAGCCATTTGGTTCACGTGTCTTTTATCTATTTTGTTGTTACATATCCGCAATACAATCGCGGTCCAATAAGTTCTAAGATTGTAGCTTGTTGACACGAACTTTGCAAAAGAGTTTGAAAATGACCCAAAGTGGTCAAAGGACAAACACATATGCAACAAAAATTGTGGACACCTTTTTTTTCGTGTTTTCTTGTTGTTACTTATAATTACACCATATAAATTTCTACTTTTATTCTGAAAACATTGTAAAGTATGAAAGCTTAGTTCTTCCTTTCTTTGTCTATTTTAAGATAATTTTCTTACTTGTTTTCACTCGAAGGAGTTTCAGTCTTCTTAAAACAATGTTTTTTAGAAAACTACGTTCGATTTTTTCTGTAAGTTAATCTAAACACCATTTATTAATAAGATGAATTTTCCCGCTTCAAAATTGAATATTTTCATTCATCATCTACAAATCATACACAAATCAATATTTCTAAAAAATCCCACGTGCGTTTCTAGATAAAGCAATGTAAAAAAATATACAAGGGATTTTTTCTTGGAAGGTTTCAACTAGCGGTAGCTCTCCTGGCAGCTCGGCAACGACTAATGTACAAGAATTCGCCATACGTGTACCAAAAAACTTGCCAAAAAAGCATCATATGCGTTTTAATGCCACGTCGACTTCGCACAATGGCGAACAGTAAAATTGGAACGGGAAAATAATTTAAAGGTATAGAAGAAGCTATGCCAGAATTCGGTGCAGGATCGGAATATAATCGGAACTTTCGTGAAGAAGTTAGGCGCAAGAAATTCGCAATAATTGTGATACAATGCAGACCAGAAGCTCACCCATGAATTTTGAAAGTGGGTGGTAAAAAAGTGGTGGCAATTGCCGGTGTGGTGACGTTTTTTTAGTAATTTTTAAAAGCAATTCGTTACTTATACATACGTGATAATCCTTTCCCCACCCCTCGGAGTATTCTTTTTCTTTTTTACAAATAGGCTTTACAAATTTTCCTGGTTTTTCATTGTTTTTCCTTGTATGCAATTATTTATTAACAAAAAATTATTACATGTATTTGTTTTTGGAATCAGTTGATTTTTTATCAAATCAATATAAAAAAAAGGTGTTGTCTGTGTACTTGATAACATAAGTGAGTAACCATGTAAGCAGGAGGCAATGAAGTAGGCTGTGATCGCCAAGAGAATCTAATCATATTGGCAAATTTGCTGACGATTATCGCCAAATCCGCTCTCTCAGTGACGTCAAATCAGGCGACAACAAAATTTCCCTTATTGAGAATAAATTCGCATTAATATTAAATATAAACTAAGTAAAGTTATCACAAATCTGCTTTTAAATTTGAATTTGTAAAAAAGCAGCTGCAAAAGAAAAATGGAAACAATTTTTAGACAATGAACTATTAATTCAAAAAATTAAAAAACTAAAAAAAAAATGAAGCGTGTCCGAAATTACATTTGCGAATTGTGAAGAAAAAAACAAAAATGTTGAAGGTAAGTACAATTTTTTTTCAATATCGAATTAAATTAAACTAAATATAGCCTAACATGAGCTCTATATAATTCATTTTAATGAAATGAATGAATTTGTTTACATTTGTTCAAGTATTTGTATAAAAATTTGGTAAAGTACGAGAGTAAGCGAAAAATGTGAGAATAAGCGCATAAAAATTGGTAAAGTACGAGAATAAGCGTATACAATTCTCAATAATTCGAAAAATGTGAGAATAAGCGTCCAATTTGTTTACATTTGCATATTATTTTGCATCCTTATTATTGTTTACCATATGTATGATAAATAAAACTCAATTTGGCTCTCATTTTTTACGTTTCTCTCAGTTATTAGTTAATTGTCATGGAAAATTTAAGGAAATGTATTGGAAAGCTGCTGACGATGGTGTCTAATTAGCCTCTTGGCGATAATCAATTCTCTCCCAAAAACGCAAGGAGATAATCACGCCGATGATCGCCTGCTTACATGATTACCGCTTCATTTCTGAAAGCCCAAACTATCGATAACAATATTCTCAGCTTCTCATCCCTTAAATGTATTTATTGAAAGTGTTTTTTTTTTTATTAACACGGTGTTTCCCCATTTCTAGTAAATAGTTCATTTATAACATACAACGCAAACGCATTACGTAACCCACATATATGTACATAAGTAAATTGTTGATTAAATCAATGATATCTGGTTACTGCAATTAAATTAAGAGCTACGAAAATGCCTCAGCCTAAGATGAAAACTATCAGAGAAGCGCAACAGGAGCTTGCTTTGAGTCTTGGTTTTCGTGACCAAATCATTTGGGATTTGTAAGTTAGATTGCTACGCATATGTACTATCGACTGTTAATTGCAAACATTTATATTCCAAACTAAATATATATTGCCATGTTAGCTATTCAGCCCGCCAAAGTAACGTTTTAGAGAAAAAAATCAAAGCACTTCTGCCAGATCAAACAAAGAATCAACGGGCAATTAAAAAAATGCGTGAAAATCTGTTTACAAACGTTTGGAAACAAAGTAAGATTGATTTAATATTAAATATAAGAAAGACTTTTATTTAACAGTCGAAAATACTTGTAGGAAAGTACGATAACGGTACTTTATATTCTTACATATTTTATGTGGCTGTTACAAACGACAAAGAGCCAGAGAAAGCAACAAAGTTTTCTATTCATCCCGTATTTCGAATACGAAAATGTGTTGGTGCGTGCTATTTAGTGTGCTTAAAGTGATTGAGAAACAAGTGATCGTTTTTTCCTTTCCAGCGGGAGGTGATAGCGAAGGTTGTTGTATGATTTACGTTGATGAAACTGGGCGTGTTTATCAAAACTGGGAATCTTATATTAATGAGAATATTTTACCACCTGGGTTGATGGTCGTACCAAATTGTGGTGTATACAACCTTGAAAATGATCAGGTTGTATTAGCAAGCTATACCACTCCAAATGGGAAACCTGGAGCTGTATTATTGGAAAAAGCTCAAAAAAGCGCATCCCTCGCGGGCATGGGGGCTGCGTTTGTACCTTTAGCAGCTATGGCTTTCCCAGCAGTAGCACCGGTCGTCGCTGGAGCGGCTTGTGTCAGTGTTGCGACAGGGATAATGTCAGGCGTTTTATCTGCTAAAAATTTAGTCGATCGAAGTAATCATGAACAATCTATACAAATAACAGATCGGGACGCTTGTGGTAGCTGGCTTGGTGTTGCGTCCGGAGTAGTTGGGCCAACATCATTGGGAGCTACAAAATATATGACAAGAATGGCAACAGCTGGCAAAGCCACAACTGTAAGTTCTTAAAATGATTTCTTTCAGTCAGTTTATAGCAAAGCGTCTTCTATTCGTACGTTTAGGGCCTTGAAATAATCATTAATGGTATGAATGTTACGTCAATGGTGCTATCAGGAAGTGGTCTGGGAATGGGTATACTAGATTTAATTTTCGTAAGCATAGTGAAAATTAAACATTTAAAAGAGATAGGATATATATATATTTTTTTTCTTAGAAATACAAGGATGGTGATGATGTCACAAATTTGGATGTCGTTCAATTGGCAGCGTCTTTGGTGCTATTTACACATTCTGTTTATAATTTGCAAATGGCTTCTAACATCGCGGACAACGCTCGTAACGGCCACATTGAAAAGTACCGAGAATCGCTTAGTCGTCGTCAAAGGTAACCTATAAAGCTTATTTTTCCAAGTCCTATATATTTTGATCGGTTATAGAAGTCAAGCCATGTGCTAGAGTGTTAAATTTATCACTTATAATTATAAATATTAATATATTCATTGCTTAGATATTTACATTTACCATCAGACGGTCTATTACTTTGTCATCACAATAAAACAAGTTTTTTCTGTTTAGGGCTGCGTTTAAATTCGAAATTTTAAACAGGTCTGCTCATCTGTTTTGTTGGGAAAATTTAGACGAGAATGCATTTGTTTAACATTCAAGACACAAGATGTTTCTTTAAAGTTCGAAATGAATCAAAAAAAAGAATTTTTTCCTGTTTTGACGTCATAACAATAGAAAATGTTTTAAATACAGGATTATTTTAACACACCAAGTGTTGTAAGATACAAATTTCTCAAAGCACTACAAAGTGTTGCGCGATGTAAAAATCTTATAATACACTCTTTAAAAGGATATTCATCATCATCATGACTTTTGCATGTTGTTTGAATATAATTTATCTGCTCTTGTAACAACTTCCAAATGATCAACAGTAGCAGCATATTTTTCAACAAAAACTTCCAATTTGTAGAATTGGTTCCAATGTTGGTTCCCAGTTTTTTTCATCTTATTATAGCCCATAATCTCCTGTTCGAAACATTTAGATTAGAATGTGTTTATGTAATATTCAAAACACACGAGATATTTCTTTGAAAACCTTAAAGTTCGGAATGAATGAAAAAATTAGTTTTCCTTATTTTGACATTGCAACTATACAAAATCCTTACGATAAACATTTGTAGTAACATATGAAGTGTTTTATGGTACAAATTTTTAGAAGCATTACAAATCTTTTACGACAGAAGCCTGTTTGCAACAACAGCCCGTTTTAGAATAAGCAGAATATGATCTTATTAAAAATATGTACTGTCAGTGTTCGGACACTTTCTTGAAAAGAGTTTCAAAATATGGACAAACATCAATTTACAATTTAAAGCTTGCTACTTGCAAAGTTGGCCACACCTTGTTTTGGCGTCCATCTATATTTATATGGTCATCCTATAATCCTCATGTATTATTGCTGTAATATTGATCTATATATATAAATTTATATGTTTTTATAATATTATAAAATTTATAACGTCCGCCAAACATGGTTATTATGCCGTTAGTGCTTTAACTTATTTATTGGGTATGATTTCCTCAAATATGGCGCTGCGGTGGGTTTCATACCCGTATATTGAGTGTTTTAATCGGTCGAAAATCCTATTCGTGGATACGTTATGCTTGCGTTGTCACTATCATTCTCGGAGTTGTGCTATTTATTTATAAAGAGAGTAAAAAGGCAAATGCTACAGCGACCGCTGATAATGCAGGTTTAGGAGAACAATTACTCTTTTTAAGTTTATCCATAGATGGTTTAACGGCAGCAGTGCAAGAACGAAATAGGAAATTCTTAATGTAAGAAAAACTGGAAACGAAACGTCGGTTTATTAAAATTTGATATAATAAATAAAAATTTTAATTCATTAACTCCTTTTATCGGAAATCGGAGGGTATTTTCGTTAGTTCTGATGCTTATTTTCCTTACTAAGTGCATTTAAATCGGTCCTACGAGCGAAACCTTATTGCAAATTTATGGCTTTTGAACAGTGTGATGTGATATGTTTATTACGCTAAACGCTTTTATACTCACCTCAATCATATTTTAGCAATCGATGGCTGAATACGTCAGGAATAGAATTTCTTTGCGCCATATATTAGAATATATTAGAATATAAGTGCTGATTGAACATTTAACCCAAACCGAAAAACTTATTTAAGTTGATTAATCAACATGTTCATTTATTTTTATAAATATTTCAGGAAAGAGTTTCATAAATTATCTAAGGAAACCACCCGAATACGCCCTGGCAGTCAAGGCAAAATTGACATTGTACGCAATATTAATGAACTACCCGACCGGCAGTATCTCAATGACCTGTATAAAATTAACAAGCAATTAAATCAAAATAAGGTACGACCAGCATATGCATCGAAAGGCCAAGGTATAGTATTGAATAATGACGTTAAAGTAGATACCCATGTCCTACGACAAAGTGTTCAACATCAAAAAGGGCCTAATGTGCTTAAGTCTGTAACAAAACCGATACCAGAAACTATATCAACAACGGCCAAAGTTAATTTCACTGCACATAACCCGACCCCGATTCCAAATCCGATTTGGAACAGCCATACCATTCTACTAGCGAATGGTGCAAAAATTTGCCTTGAAGAGTTTGGGAGTCAGTTTCGCGAAAATATCTACGATTGCAAAGAATGGAACAAATTAGCAGACTTCATTGCGTCGAAGTTTCCTGAAGACGTTATCCGTTTTCTACTGAATTTGTCAAAGACATTTATTGAAAGATTACATAAATGTCGTGATATGGTTTTTCAAAAAGATACAAGTACAGAATCAATTCTTTTTCGTATACTAAAATATTGTTATGGCAAATTGGAAGAAGATCAAGATTTTCAGTATTTTCGCTGTAGGGCTGAGGTAATTTTAAAGCATCTCGACGAGTTTGTTAAATGGATCAGGAAAATTACAAAGCATTCAATTAAGCCGGATAAGAACTTTCCTGATTCCACTACAACCGAAATGCAAACCCCCACAGATGGTGCATTCACGCTATCTAACCCCAATGAAAAATTTCCCGGTTCCTTTATTGTTGCAGAAAATCGTTCACGCATTTTCTTGAGAGATTTCGAGCTCGAATTTTTAATTAACATCCTCGATCGAAATGCATTATGTCGTATAACAGAATTTCTCTGTTTGAACTTTTCCGAGAAAACTGTTCGCTTTCTGTTTAATACGACCAGGAGAATCGTTGACCATTGCCAGAATTTGAATTTCGAAGTAAGACTAGCCGTCACTACAGAATCGATTCTTTTTCAGATATTTAAATACTGGTATACGAACTTTAATGATGATATTGAGCACGATCCAAGTAAAATTGATGAAATTATAACAAACGTTCGCAGGTATATCACGAATAAAAAGAATTTTCAAAATATTAATGACATACCTGACAAAGAAAATCTGAAAGAACTACTTAAGTCCAAAAAGCAGTCAAAACCAAACATTAATACAAATACAGGAAGGCCGTCGTTGCGAAGAAATGACATATTGTTGAATAGCGACTTGAACGTAGGTTCAGGTGGAACTGAGCGTCAAAATGGCTCCAATTCATTACAATCTATAATACAATCCACACCGGACAATACATCGAAAATCGAGGATCACAATGATGGCTCCGAAAACATAAATTCTTTCACTATTCGAGAAAATGGTGCAATGATTTCCCTTAGCGAATTTGGAGAACGTTTTAACAACCACATTATCGATTCAGTTAAATTGAATGGATTAATAGAATATCTTTGTTCAAATTTATCTGAGGAAACTGTACGTTTTCTACTAAAGTTGGCTCAGTCTTTTATTGAAAATTATGCTAAACGGATAGAAAATAAACTTAAAATGATTTTGACTACAGAATCGGTACTCTTCCATATATTTAAATATTGCCATAACAAATATAAGGAGAACTTGAATTTTAAAAATCTTCGACACAAACGTGATGATATTGTAACGAACACATATTTCACTCTTGTGCCGATGGATGAAACCGACGAGGTAAAAAAAATAAAATGTCAAAATTGCAAAGGTTTTTATAGCATAAGTGATTTATAGTTTCTTAAGTAAAGCATTTATTCAAAAGTTTTGCATGCCGTTGTATCAAGTGCCTTAAATTGATATTGTACCGTGAAATGCGATTTCACATTATTTTTTTATCTATACTTACGTCACATATAAACTTGAGCACAAATTTTATAAGAAAGTTGCATTTGCCTTAAGGTATTTACATCGAACTATGTATTTATTATTTATTGATTGTGAGCGCGTCAAATTAATAGTTTAAGTATAACATTGAACGTTTTGATGGCCCTCACAAGCATTTGAAAGAAATTTTAAATTAAAATGCTTTGTAGGAATTGCTCCAGATTATACTTTACAGTTTTTTTTGCCCATTATTCGCACATTGGATTACTTTCATTTTCAATAGTACCTTGCCGTCAAACATATCCACGCCGCCGAGCTTTCCACCTTAATATCTGTGCCAGTAAGCCTTTCCGCAATAGACAATCGGACTCTAAATAGTTGTTAATGGCTTCAACAAGTCCTTTTCATATTCTACTGTTATAGGAATGAGAAAAAGGACGAAGTATTTTTTATACAATTAACTTTTTGACATTTTTAATATTTTTAAAATTCTTGTATTTATATATTATACATATATACATATAAAGTGATTATATACGAGAAAACGAAAATTTATAATTGATTTTTACAAAATAAAAATATATATGTGAAGTAACAGTTTGGAAAATGTTTCATTATTAAAACGAGGGAGAGCATCTTAGTTCGGCGGACCCTTCGATAATCTACACCACTTCGCCTAAAACAGTCATTGGTTCATTTTCGTAGTAATACACCAAATATTACACATTGTTGCATGCTTTTCACGTTGGAGAATGCTTAAGACATCACTGTATGTGATCCCAATATGGGAAACCTAAGTTACTTGCCCAAGGTTAGTCCTTCTTGCCACATAAAGGTTCAGTTTCCGTAGAGGCGGTTATACGACAGGCCTTTCAAAAAATTGCCTTTTCCAAATTCTGAAAATTGTTGTTGAATAAGCAAAGCATTTGATATCGTTAACCATAGACTACTTATCTTTAAACTCCAAGCCTCTGGTTTCCCACCCTACTTTGTGAAATGGAGAGCAAAACTAAAATGTGGAGAGATCTCTGTTTAATATGCAAAATTGTAAATCAGAAATTCACTTCAAGTTATTTCTCTCTCAGATCTTTGTTAGCGGCGTAGTAGGTTGAACATGTGTTTGGTTAGACCCATACTCGAGTATGCCTCAGTTGTGTGGTCTCCTTCATATAGGTGCTACGTAGATTCAATTGAATCTGTTCAAAAGCAATTCTTGCTGTTTGCCCTTAGAAATTTGGGTTGGGATCCGATTGCCTCTCTTCCTTCGTATGAAAATAGGTTGCTTCTGCTGTCCCTACCGTCTCTTGAGAAATGTAGATTTGTTCTTGGCGTTTCCTTTCTAATTAAAGTCATAAATGGTGCCATTGACTCGCCTTCATTACTTGGTGAAATAAGCTTTAATGTCCCTAACCGCTTCTCTAGGCACTTTATCTTGGTTAAGCTTAATCAGTGTAAATTTAATTATGAGCTGTTCAATCCGCTCAGAGTCGTTTGCAAGAACCTAAATGACGTCTACCACTTATTCTCGTTATCGGACTCTTTAAAGTCCATTAAAGCAACATTGCTTAATACGCGCGATTTACCTATGTCGTATTTAAACTAGCTTTTGTCCTTACGTCGTTACGTTTCGAAAGTGAATTATTGTCAATTTATTATCGGTTGCCAGGCTTATGCATGTTTGCGATGGCTTAAAGTTTCTTTTGCAATTTGGTCCTGTATCGGCAGACTTTTTTACCCGCTCCGAACGTTAAAAGAGTTGTTACTCAAATGTAAATAAAAATTAACTAACTTATATGTGACTCTAGTTGCACTCATTATACTCTAAGTTGTTACATTTAAACCTCTTGCCTTGTTATTTTCACTCAAAATTGTAATGCAACACTGCATGATATGGTTTTGCGCGTTTGTTTAAATAAGTATTAATATAGCTTTCGTAAGTTACTCTCTCCAGTAAACATTAGCACTTACGGCTATCACCACGAGGTGATATATATCAACGCATTGGTGTGGCACCCAACTACTACTTATGGGGCTATTCTCCTGCTACACTGATTTCCGTCTATAATGATATCTTTTCTAAATCTATGAACATATTTGGTACTACGTGGAGCATTGAATTCAATACATTCACTGGTGTTGAAAATCTACAACTTCAGCTAAATCCACAGTATCATGTTCTGATGTTTAACTCAGCTCAATTTTGAAGTGTCTAAGACTATATGCTATAAAAGCTTCAACATTCGTTCTAATAGTGAACTGTTACGCATTCGTACATTGAAATTTTTAATGAGAGTAAATCGCAATGGGGAGCTTTGCATAGAGCGTATGCGTCATCTTTAATGCCTTTAAATATTTTTCTATTGTTTATCTGTTATATTTTTAATGTAAATATTATTATTATTATTATTATTAGAGGATAAATTCTAAGACTAAAGTCTTAAAGCACTAGCATTCTAAGGCACTCGGCTTTATTAAAAACTCTACCGCACTTGAGATTTGAACCTACGACCATTGAATTGCTAGTCGACGCTCTTGCGCACTCAGCCACTCAAGCGGTTAATGTAAATTATAAATCACATTGGAAAGCATATAAATGAATAGATGTTGCTACAGGTGTTGTGGCCATCCGAAACTGCAATTCCTCACGCGTGTTCCGATAACTTCTTTGACCCTAGAAAATTTTGCCTTGCTTATCGTTGTTTATTTTGCTTTAAGTTTTTAATTTTGAATTATTATCACGAGTTTAAGTGAAAAAACATGCAACTAGGGTTGAGAAGCCGCGACCTTACTAGTTCTATGCAGTCGTGGCCGTATACAAAAGATATTAATTAAATATTGCTACACATTTACGACAAACGTTTGCATTTTCACAATGAACACTTAGAGTTATATTTAGTGAGAAACCTTCGCTTCCAGGTCTTGCAAGAGAACGGCTTAAATTGCTATGTGTTGTAAACGACTGATCCAAATGAAAGCGTTTCAATTTCCCAATACTGGTCTGAAACTTTTGTTTTTCCTTTTTTAAATCAATAGAATATCTTTCTTTGAGATGCTTTTGTAAATTGTCTTCACCCCATATTTCTTTGAGCATAAATATCATCCGAAATTTGTTAAGCGTTCATTTTCTGTTTTATTATACCTTTCAGGGAATATGGGCCCATGTATAGTGGTCATGTGAATCTTTAAACAAGCTTTCGTCTAGTTTCACAGCGTAAGTTTTCCTCATCAATCTTATAGCCAGTTAAAGTTATAGAATTCTTGCAGATTTTATCGCACGTGTCGCGACGTACAGTCAAGTCCTGTTGAAATATTGCCTTATTATCTTTAATATTTTCATAGACACTGCATGTGTTTCTTGTCCTTTAGAGGCTTCATCGTATAGACTAACACTTTTTTCTAAGCCACTGTAAATCCGCATATATAGACGCATAAAATGAATATTCCTACTTCAATGAGTACCTTTTTGCACCTACAACACTCATCACTTTGATTAATTTGCATTCCAATATTTTCCGTTAACTGTTCTTGCTTTGTTTTTCCTGATTATCGCGCTTTGGTCATGATAGGCGCAGAAATTTCTGGACTCTGTGGCTAATCAGTTGGTGGCTCTCGCAAAGAAACTTTATTTTTTAGAATAATTTTTGAACTCCTTGCTTGATTCGAAAATATTCTATGCAATTTTTCCGCATACATATCCTTTGAGACAGAAAAGTTTCCTTTTTTTCTGAAAACTTTAAAGAAAAGAACACATTAAGGCGGGGGGTAAATGTTTCTCAATCCTCAATAAATTACTTAAAAACTCGCCATATGTGCTTTCGGCAATCCTAAATCCAGAGATATACGCTGACACAAAGAATGCTAATTGACTTTTGCTCATGTCCGGCACGTCCTGAATTTATGACTAATTTGTTTAGATTGCACAGGATTTACAGATGATTCCACTTTTTCCTTATTAGTATTATTTCGTTTTATTTGTCTCGTTGAGGGGATGGCATTATTTTTAAATATTAATTAAATATATATATATTTGTAATGTTACTTAAGGAAAAGGGTGAAATTTTTTGTCTAAAATTGTATGAATGCGCCGACAAGTCGCAGTAAAAATGAGGAGGAGCAAAGAAATATACATTATAATATGGAACACTTCGTCAGCGACATTCCCGCGACAAAATTATACATCATTTATATATATATGTATATATATGTATAAATATATATTTATTTATTTTCGGCATATTTTATAAGTAAGTTTACAAAATAAAGATACGAGATAACTAGATCATATGCGCCTGCAGGTGTTGAATAGCAAAGGTGATGTAAAGTTAAAAAGAAAGACAACGAATTGCAGGAATAGAAGAAGAAACTAGTGTAACGAGAGAATTGGAGACTATGAATAAATTATAATCAAAGTATGAAGAGCATCGTGTCATGTTTATGTACATATATATATATACATATATATATAATAAAAGTTGAAGTTTTCTTTACTAGAAAACAGTATGACCGCATTTTTTGGAGGTAAAAGACTAACACTAAAAGCCTATCTTACTTTAAAAATCAGACGATTTTTTTCTAATCTCTACGATGGCGTGATGTGATTGTTCACAATTCATCGCAGGAAATGTGCAAAGTTGCTTTGTTTTGTTTGCTCAACTTGATCGGTTAACTTAGTTTGAGTTGACTTATGTTTGTATATATACTATATATATAATGGTGAATTTTATAACCTTTCACTTAGCTTTGTAAAGGGCACTGCAGCGCTGCGGTTAGTAAAAGGTTGAAAGTCGAGCAACTTTCGAAATCTAAAATGCCCAACCCCCACTTACCTTCTTTGTTTCTAATGTTTGGAAAGTACCCGTCAAATCGTGGCAAACGGGGAAAGGTATTAAGTGAGAACAGCCTATGGTCCAAACATATATGCATTAGCATGCCACCCCCGTATTAGCGATAAAGCAATATCTTGACACATATGGTCTGAAAACATGTATCCCCATCTTGTAACTAAAGATTGAGTACAAAATTTTCCCCTGTCTGTATCCTCATGGAACGGACATTCAATGCCAATTTCATATTCAAAGTAATCCCTTTCGAAATACGCATCTGTTATGTGTAAAGTCTTTGGCTTTTCCAGCTCTCTCTGGTCACATGTCGCTTCTTTCATTACATAAAAAAGGTATTCTAATGAATAAATACTTAAAATTGCGTTATTCGCGCCTATGTCAGATTTTAGAAAATTTAACACCGAATTTACGATATGTATGCATTCCCACGGCGTGTACAAGGAGGGATAGTCATCGTTGGAGCTTAAGAATTTCAACACCGCATTATAAACATTGCCCAAATTTCTGTCACCCATAGCGTTCGGTGGAAAAGGTAAACTGTGGGTTGTGTCCGAATAATGTTGAGCTTCAAGTTGATGACCGTACATTTTTGATAATGCAGTGGGAATGTAAAAGCCGCCATCCTAGGTTTTGCTGAAGTAATTAACCGCCATAAAAAAATAGACTTTATGCTCCAATTTACCATTTTTTTTTGCTATTGCGAACCATTTGCTCAATTGTACGATTGATTTGTTTCTCTTTTTGTTCCAGTTCCCACTTTTGGCTATGCATTTCTTTCTGTCCGCCCAACTGTGTAAAGAAACCAAAACCATATGTGTTTTTCTAATAAATGTTTGGTATAGGTTTCATTAAAAACCAAAATCAGTTGTGTTTTTCTAATAAATGTTTGGTGTAGGTTTTATTGAAACCAAAATTATTTGTTTTTCTAATAAATGTTTAGTGTAGGTTTCATTTTAGCTTTTTTTCCAACAATTAGTTTACAAAATAATATAATTTCCGTATATTTTTTCTTCCGATCAAACACGTTGAATTTGATTTTTTGATTTTTACGTACAGATGTACATGTCTATATGCATATAACTTGATTTTCTAGGATGCCTTGGAGAGTGATTTCTTTGTTGGCCCAAAAGCTGAAGAACATCGCGGCCTGCTGAGTATTAGGTATCCAATTTTGTAGGCTTATGACCTTTTTTCTTTATTTAACATAAAAATTTACAATTGGTTTTTTTTTTGGAAAATTGGTTTCTTCAAAGAGAGAACATAGAAATTTAGCTTAAGTAACATTCGTGTCCACCATTACGACTGGACCATTGAAGGATTGTATCTCGCCGGATGTGAACATTGTGCACAAAAAACATACCAAAGAACGTACATTCTGCATAGGGCCCTAGAAGTTTATACATCTTAATTACGATATATGGGTACATTTTAGATATCACTTATATTTTACCGGTTGTGTTATCAATTCTTGTAAAAATACCAGGTCTGACGACCACTTGTTTGATTAAAAATACAGCCTTTTTTGTTACATCGACTTTAACATTTTTATCATTTTTATCACTCACAAATTTAACATCAATTATATCATTATAAGCCAATGCCTGAGCGCAGTAAACAAGACTGTTCTGGCTGGCATGTTCAGGCCCATTGCTAAAGTTTCCGTGGCAAACAAAGCTTTAAGCAAACCTTCGAAAAATAAATTATGACCGGAGCAAAATTTCGTTGCATAATCATTTTGACGATTTTGAATATATTGGATTGGCTACTATTTACACATTTAATGGGATGGGATAAAAAAATAGATCAATTTTCGTGAAAAAATATTAAAAATTACAGAGTTTTGCCATCTTAAAACTTATGTTTCGTACTACAATATTTTCGTGTTTTGCCGAAAGCATTTTAAAAAATATAGCGATTCGATGCAAATTTTTCAATCAACTTTTAGGTAATTTTACATAGCAAATTTGAAGTAATATTACTTAGCAATACTTGCCGACAAATTTTCAAAATTGCGGATTGTTTCCACTTTAAGACTTTTTACAATATTTACCTTCTATAGCCTAATCCTAGAGAAATAATCGATCTAGAAGCGCATTTGGAGAAAACAGAAAATGAGATTCTTGAGTTGGCTCAGAAGCCCCGCTGTGTGGTTGAGCACAAATTAACATGGACAGAAGTCAAATAGAGAGACAAAATGAAAATGTTTCTGAATCGATCAGTACAATAAGAGGTGCGTCTATTTTAAGTCCTTGCCGATACAAACTTGATGTACCTGCAAGCCGCAAACGATATAGAATATAATTATATAGCATGATGCACATAGAGCTGTTTTTGTAGGTGTATGATTGATTAATAGGAAACAGGGAAATACATTGCTCATGGTACACATATGTAGTGCGAGCGAAAATTTGTTTGTCAGAGGTTGTAAGGTTGAAAGTAACTATTGCGACGAAAAGAATGGATTTTTTCCGCCGTTCCTTTAAATGTACCAAAATTTATAAATAATTTACATACCTACTCTATCTAGTCAATCCCGACTACACGCAAAAATGCAAGGAATTAAGATAATGTTTTGGAAGTTCAGGTTTGGTGCATACTTTTGAGGGCATAAAAAATACTTCATAGCATTTTTCATACCAATTTAGTTAGAATGCCCAAAAACTGTTTTCAAAAAATTTTAAAAATTACAATTCTTTTTCCATATAATGACTTCTTAAAATATGTGTCCGCGTTATGTCGGAATTGGTCGAAAAAGTGGACCGATCGGAACCATTTTCAATAGCGTTCGTCCTTGGATCAAAACACGTCACCAAAATATCTCAAAAATTACTAGCGTTGTTTGAACATAAATTTACATGGACAGACATCAGATGGACAGAAATGCTTAGATTAAATCAGATTATGATTCTGAATCGATCGGTATAGTAAAAGATGGGCTCTTCTAGGTGTTACATATGTTACATATACCTACACATATACATGTGACGCAAGTGGTGCAAATGCATGAAAATAGAGGGTAACTGAAATTCATTTTCCAACTATCCTTTTGCCCAAATTATTTATTGAAAATTTTTGAAGCTTTGAAGATATAACTTTTAGAACATTTAGCTCAAAAACAATTAAAATTAAAATAAAAATTTTTTCAAAATTTTTCTGTGAAAAATTATTCAAAATGTCCGAAAATATCAATTGTAAAGAACCAGAAAATAAAACAAAACGTAATTTAAATTTGGATATTTTAACATTCATGCAATTAGATGTTATGGCGATATGGCTGACGAACGAAACCAATGAACTTTATAGAGAATTCCTGAATAAAACTCAGTTTGTTCGCGAGCAGGAAGTAGCAATTTCGGAAGTAAGAGAAAAAGAAAGCTCGCTCCAATAATGATCATCATATGAACTTTATTTCTTTTTTTTTATTACTTTTAGCTACAAAAATTGCTACAGAATTTAAAAGATTGGAAATCTATATCAGTAATCTATAACCACATCTCAACACATGTCTGCTTATAAAACAGTCTTTAGAACAAATTATTTCTCGACTCCATTTATATATAAATGCATTTTAACAGAAAATCATACATTGTTTACAGAGAACTACGCACTGTTTACAGAAAACTATGCAAATCGATGCATTTTCACGAGCCACTCTAGATTTTTACCAGAAAGCTATGAACAGATGAATAAATTTCTTCTTTTTCTTCATGACCCAGGTTCATTTTATTAGCAGGCAGATCGGTGGGGAGAGCCGCTAAGCAATTTAAAGCAAATGTTTAAATGTTTAAAAATTATATGGTTGGAGATGTTACTATGTACCGAGTTTGCAATGTCGAATTTAAAAGATTTATCAGATGATGTGCGCGAATTACAAAAATGTGTCGAGCTATCATCAAGTCCTTATAAAATTGTAAGTAAGATTTGTAATGTACTTATGAATTAACTATTATCTCATGGATTATTAACTATAGATCTCATGGATCTATATGAATATACCTTCCAAGCAAACTAAATAAATTCAAGTTCTCACTTTTTGAAATTTGGTATATTAGTGAAAAATGGGAATGGAAGACCATCCGGATTTAAGACCCTGGTACGGTCAAAAAAGAAAATGTCACCTGTATTCTTCTATTTCTATTTCTACTCCTACTGCGACTACGTCCGCGACAGCTGCAGTCTTCTCACATCTGTTGCACATTTAAATGGATCCGGAATTCATTTTGAAATATTTAAAGGAGTCTATACCGATATAGTTGACATAAAGCATTGCAATAAAAAATGTTCGTGAGAAAGTGTTTGAATTAATATTCTTTAGATTTCGCACTGAATAATTACTGCGGTAGCCTAAAAGAGAGTAGCAATCATTTCTTTATCTTTTCATCTCTTCTTTATTTAATTATCTTTTGATGAAATGATTTTTGAGTTTTGAAATAAGTTGGCCCATAAGCTAACCGATTTTCTAAAAATGCAAGTTCTAAAAATAATAAAACCAAATACATATTGATGATGCGGCGAGAGCTCTGCACCTAATAAACTCTTGTGCCACAGGTATCGCAGGGTATAGCAAAGAGATATTAAACAACCAACAGGGAAATTTATTGTAAAGGACCACTTATTTCTAACTTCTAATTTCCAAAGATGTATTGGTTACACTGCTTAACACTGAATTATTTTGGTACATACATTAATCAGCTGTAGTGCTGATGTTTTGTTTGTCCAGGTTTGAGTCACTTGGTAACATACCGTGTTCGGAAACAAAAGACAATAATAAAATTCTTCAATATCAATTTTGCACTAACACAAGCTTCTTAGTTTATGAAAATCATAAATGGAGGTGTAAAAAAGGCACAAGTAGAAGGAAGCTCAGAATAAGGCGGATAGTCATAACTCATCCACAATAAATGATAACGAGATGTTCGTTAGGGCTATGTAAAACTTTTGCTTAATAAATGAGTTGGTGAAGGGAATTATTAGGGCCATCACATAGTTGAGTTAGTAAAAAATGTTTTACTATGTCATTAATTCAAGTTTTGGTAAGGAAGAAGTTCTAAGTCTTGATAATTAGACCAAGAGAAAAAAGAATCTTAATCAGATGTTAGATCTATATGGATTATTGATAAAAAAATGGAAATAGAAAATAATAACAGGTCGCAGTCCACCACAAAATACTCGACACAACCCCGCAGTTATACATCTGACTGATGATAGGATGATATGACATAAATTGTTGTATGGGAAGCGGTCGAAGAACTAGTCAGATCCGCACCATTTTCAACAGCGTTACCCCTTGGACCGAAAGATATCAGTATACCAAATTCCATCGCGATATCTTAAAATGTGCGGTCTGTACGTGCGACCCAAGAAAACAACACATTCACTGGCGATTGCACTGCACCTGCCGACTGCGCTGTACCTAATGTACTCTTGTATCACATGTATTGCAGGGTTATATTGGAAAGATAATGGCTTTTATTCAATTTTAAATATTGCACTGCATAACGAAAATTATCAAAGGAATTTAGGCAAAACTCGAATCACTTGGCGTGCTAACTGCTCACCGATATAACGTGAAAGAAAAAGCTCTTCATCATAGGCATTTGTTACGTTATAAACGCTAACTGTATATTCAAAAACCAAACAAAAAAAAGGAAGTACACCATTTCACCCAGTACAATTACTCAATCGTTTCGGTAATAAAACACTAAAAGTCGCCCATAATTTTCAGGAAAACCTTACCACATTCTAGGATGCCTAAAGCATCCTATCACGTGATCCAAACTTACCGCATATAATGTTAATAGATTATCATAAATTAAGTTTGAAAAACAACATGCTCGAACGTCAAAGATCAAAAAACCATATTTTAGAATCCATCTTATATATTGATTTAAAAATTATATTTGTATTCCAAGCAAGAATGATTCCGATCGACACTTCCGCGTTTAATAAAATAAATGAAACGATAAAATTGCAACTTTATACGACTGCACGTACTTGTCATTTTTATCAAAGAAACTTTCTTATTTTAATAATTATTCGTATTTTCCTCTAATATCAAATTCTACCTTTTTCAAATTTGTTTACCTACTTTAGAGTTTTTATATATATATATATATATGTATATATACACATAATGTTTGTAAATTAATGCTAATAATGCATTAAAAATCTTTAAAAAAACCATATATTAAACATCTCATAAGTATATTCTTGCTCAGCTAAGCTAATGATCGTTGACCGAAGTTGAATTATTCACAAAAAAGCTAGGTACTAAGGAGACACCAACGAGATTCCCAGGAAAACTATATGAATCCCAGATGGGTCTCCTTTCAAAAATGTTTTCAAAAAAATTCATATGAATGTACTTACGCGTAATTCCCTTAATTTCTTCAGCAACTTAATTTATTAAACACTACACTAATTTTTAATTTAATTTTCGTAAAACTTCTTTCTATTTTTATATTTTCTTTCTATATTTTTATACTTTTTTAACTTTTTTCTTCGCAATTGCTCACTTCGTGCAACTTCTTTCTGCACTTGTCAAATCGTTTTGCTGCTAAAAAAACCGTTAGCCGGTTTCTTTCCTTTACATGGTTCATAAAAAAAGTACCATGTGTTGAGAATAGAGAGAGAATAGAGTTGCTTTCAATAAATGACGTTTTGAATGAAAGTGAACAAACAGAATACGAAATAATCATATCTTCATACTGAAAAAGAATACTTATTTCAAACTTAATACTGGAAAAGAATACTTATTTCGAACTCAACACTGGAAAAGAATACTTATTTCGAACTTAATACTTGGAAAAGAATACTTATTTCGAACTTAATACTTGGAAAAGAATACTTATTTCGAACTTAATACTGGAAAAGAATACTTATTTCGAACTTAATACTGAAAAAGAATACTTATTTCGAACTTAATACTTAATACTGTTGTCTCTGTTAAAGTTTGAAAAACCGACGTACGTTTCTGCTAAATCTTGAAAAACTCTTCTCCGTTCCTATTAAAGAGCGGGAAACTGACTTCTGTTAAACATAAAAAGTTCAGAATAAAATCTCAAAACATATAACACACAACATCCAACCCAACAAAAACATACTTCGAGAAATTTTGCTTTAACATTGCTAGAGAAAGTGTACATTGCTCCGGATTGAACGGAATCCAGCTAGTATTTAGACCAAGATATTTTCAGGCATAGCAGCCGAAACAATAAAACAATTCTCCACTTGCTATCTAGCATTTATAGTTAAAAAATTATGTTTATTTTTAAGGAATAGTTTCAACGAGATGCAAGGCTTCAGTGTCACCACCGCAAATAGTTTTAGAGTTTTGCGAATCGAGCGTATTAATAGATTTCCTCAAGTCGGTTATTAGGCATGAAACGGCAATTCGACTTTTCGTTCGCTCACCGCTAAGCCAGGGGTTCATTTTATCTAGCTTTTCAGAATCGACAATGTTTGGCAGCTGCGCCCATTGCCACAATTCTCCACATTCAGCCGCAGTAAATAATATCGAAGGATCAGAACGATGAAAACGGATTTCGGTTACTGGAGTGTTGTGAGCACTTAGGTATGAAGCCGGATTACCCGGTTGCCGCAAATCCCAAACTGTTATTGAACCTTCTTCAGTCCCGGCTAATACAATATGTGATTGGGTCGGGTGTGCAGCCAAAGAAGAAACATAGTTACTGCGTTTATCATCTTCACAAGAAGTTATGAAAGCCGCTACCGCTTCCATCGGAGACCGAACGTCGAATATTCGTATAACTCCCATACGATTCGCTGTTAATACTTCTTGGGGATTACTGTATAGCACACATAACAAGGAACAGCTATCCGCTATAGTAGAACGGCGAATCGTTAGAGAATTTCCAATGTCAACTATATTCAAGCGACCATCTTCGCCAACGGATGCAACTTCCTTGCCACATACCGAAATTGCTGTGCATGGGGTTGAATTGCCATTGACGCTGTGTAATAATCCACTCTGAGTTATTTGCTGCAATATGTCTTCTTCAACACCACGTTTAATTTTGAATAAAGTGAGTTTGCCTTTAAAACGCATGCTTATCATTACATTATATTAATAGTGTACAACGACAATCTTACCGTCACTGCAACTCACAACTACAGTGTCTTCTGCCACCAATTCCAAACCCGTTACATCGCCACCGACAAGGTGTTTACCAGTGCATTTGGGCACATAATCACTGTAAGTGTCACCCATCATATTTTTCTGCAACCGCCACATCCTAACAAATGATTTTGGCATATCCCAACTTCCACTTAAGAAACCATCACTCTCTTTTAAGTAATCGGGCAACCATCGAACTTTGGAAATTTTCTCCGAAACAAAAAAAGTACTTACTTTAGTATTGGACGACATGATTTGTGTTCAATATAAAACAAGACATCACCGGCTACTTTTCTATGTTGTGGGCTTATTGTGAATTGATGTTTTTTAACAAGGGTTGCTAAGATATTTAATAGATATTTTTGTTTTCGTGTTCATTTTTGCTGTTTGCATCTCACAATCCAGCAGTAAGAACTGAGATCTGTAGTCGCGGAAACACTTAACATCGTGAATGTTTGTGGCGATTTGTGCAGAAAAAATTTGGATAAAATTCTTTGGAAAAAATATTTTTTTTATTTATACATTATCACAAAATTTAATAAAAACAATATTCTTACAAATGTGATGGCTTTAGCAATATTATAAAAGTGATTTACTAACACATGCCTAATAAGGCACTATGTTAAAATTGATTGCAAAACGATAGAAAAATATGGAATTTTTGTATTTTTACGTATGTACATGTGTAAGTACATTTATGTGAGTTGGTATAAATGAAGGGAAATAAGAAAAATGTAAAAGAAGTATTGGAAAAGTAATGCAAAAAAGTGTATTTTTTTTTTCTAAAAATTCCACGAAAGAAATTACGAAAATATAGTAACGAAAAAATAAAAAAAAAAAAATTTAAATATGTGCGAAGACAGGCAAAAAGAAAACTTACATTACGAAACAAGTGAAAACAAAATTGTACATATATTTATGCTATGAAAAGAAAATATATCCAGTGTTTCGAGGAGAAAAAGTGAAATCTCTGATTGAAATCATAAAACTTGGAAAAAACCTATTAAGCTAAGAGGTGAAATGTGGGAAAGTCAAATGGAATAAGTAAAAGTTGAAAGCAGTAAGAGGAGCAGACCAAAAGTTTTCTTGGATTAAATTTACGGTAAGCCATAAAAATAAGAGATAAGAGAGTGAGGGAGGGAGAGAAAAAAAGAGCGAATGAGTTAGTTTGGTTAATAATTTCTTATCAGGTGTGCTTTTGCTATTAAAATGTTTGGTTTACATAGTAAGCAAAGAATCAATCAATGATTATCAATATCAATGATTTCTTTTGGATACTACTTTATCAATCCCTTTAAACTTTCCCTATAATGATGCATACAAACTTATACTTATTTATCGTTAATTGAAGGACATCTCTATAGCTAGTAACAGCATCAAATATGTTACTCGTTTTTCTTTACGATCTCTGTGTATTCATTTTCTCTGTCTCGATTTCATGTTATGTTAACGGCGGACGCGCCCATACATAAACATTTAGAATATTTTTACAAAAGGCTTTAAAGGAATGCGATTTAAAAATACTGCGGCGTCGTTCTTGCGTTTTCAAAGACTTTTACATTTTCATTAAAAATTATTAAAATATTATGGCTGACATAAAGAGAAATTATTTTTTAATCGTTTGCAGTGAATTTTCTTTATATCCGCTACTAAATACCAAGAAAGAAGAAAGAGTGTTTGACAAATTATACCCCCTTGTTTAAAACCTTCCAAGATTATAAAATAAACAGAAGACCGCAGATTTCAAAAAAGCGTGATGTAAAAAATATTTTGTTTATATTCTTGACTCAGTTATTGCTACTTAATAGCTGTGAACGAATACTGGGTTGATTCAATTGAGCTTAATACCAAAGTTTTAACAAAGGGAAGTTGTTGACCAAACCGGTGGAAAAACTGCAAGAGCAAATGCAAAATTGGCAAATTCAAGATTAACTTTTTTTCCTTAAGCAAACCTATGATTATAAATCTCTTATATAGAAGTAAGAATATTATAGTCGCAAGTCGGCAAGGTCGACTACGCCACTTCGCCTATTTGCACTCGTCTTGGTAATGATATACCAAAAGTTGGACATTATTTTTATGCAAACGCATACTCTGCATCAAAGGCCGCATATTGGAGGATTCCTTATATACTAGACGTGCAAATTCAACAAAGTAAATATCAAGAGAGATATCGAGAAATTTTGAAAATTGCTTTTTTTCTATATAAAGATTTTTCAAAACAGAGCTTTATATAGGGAGTAGTTGTAAAAGTGATTTAAGCCATTTTGCTAGTGTTCGTCCTTGGGTTAAAGCACGCCCGTATATCGAACTTTATCAAAATTTCTCAAAAATAGCGACGTGTACCCTGAGCACAAATTTACATTGACAGACATTCGATGGGCTTAGATCGATTCAGAAAATGATTCTGTATAATAAAAACCGGGCCTATCCTAACACCTTCTGGGTGTTACATACGTCCGCACAAATTTCAAATTCTCAGTACCACAAGTGGTGTAGAGTATAAAAATAAAATATAGAGAGGACAGACATCAGGCAAACAGGCTATAATAAAAGGTGGGTCTAGCTTGAGCCCTCCCGCGTGTCACATATATCCGCTTAAACTTAACGCACCCTGTACCACAAGTTGTATACATTTTTTATAGCGCTACAGATTATAAACAACTAAGAAATCTCATAATATCTCCATCATTAATTATTTGTTTATCTCATCTCGTTCCGAAGCAATTTCCCAATATGGTTCGCCGTGAAAACTATGCCTTGTCTATATGAATTAATTTCCATCGCTCTTAATTTTTTGTTTGAAAAATTACTTCGTTGACGGAATTTTGTGTTATTCGAGTTGTCATCTATTGCTGGACAATTTTTGGGTTAATAATTGAGTTTCTCGACGTTATCAAGATGCTATTATCCTTGACACAGCTTGTGTTTTAATTGCTTGGTCTACATTAACAGGAATACCATATAAGGTAATCATCAGATAAGGAAAGTAAGATAGGTAAGAGGAAGTTATTGGCATAAATTAGTTATAACGACAAAATAGTAAAACTATAGTTTATTTACCTTCTTGTTGACTCTAGCTCAACGAGCGCTGTCATTCTGAAAAATCATTTTGTTATCTGCCTTTAATTTTTGGTATAATTTTTCTTATACTTATTGCTGTTCGTTGTTTTAGCGGATACAAAGTATTACCTTGAAACCAAAAATATTCGGGCCAAAGAGATCCATTCTCACGAGAGTACAAGTTATCTTAAATTTGAATTAAGTTAACTTCTGTGTAGGTTAAAGCTTACATTAGCGAAGTAAACAGAGGGCTAATCATGAATGAAAAATTTAGCTTTCGTTACTATATTCACAGCTGTTCGGCAAGAACAGTTGAATGCAATAGCGAAAGCTAACTTTCAGCTACGTTACTCGTCGACAGCTTTGTTAATAGCTGTACAAGTAAATTCCTTCCATTTTTTGATAAAATTCAACTTTATTTAAAATATAATTATTACAGCTTAATAGTCCAAACATGTATTATCATTATTTGTGCATTTTTGCCATTTTTAAGTTACCTTATGAATGCCCGCGCGGCAGAAATTCGCCAGCTTGGAGGCGAAATAGATTTGGATACATTTTCGCACAACTTTTACGCTAATAATGACAGCATCAATATATTCGTATATACATATATATATGAATACCCAGGTTTGGAGAATATGCGGGATGCGGTAAAGCTTCCCACCATAAGCTGAGAATTACTTCCACGGTTGTAGACGGACGTATGGAAATTTCATAGTTTTCAAGATTATAATACGCAAATCAATTTCTAACGATTTCGTAGCTTACTGCGTTCTCCCGTTAATCCTCTTAAAAGCACGGAGAAAATGCATTTCTTTAAACTTTGATTCCACAATGAACGACAGCTTGCAAACGCGAAGCGAAACTTATGTCCTTCAAACATCAACATCTATGTTTTCTATGTCCGAAATGTCAGGTACATTGAACGCGTTTTATAAAGCAAGCAAATTTAGCGGGACGAATTTAGTTGAAAGTAACTAATACGACACCTTCAACTAGCTCCTTAACTCTAGTTTTAACACTCGAGCAATACCGTTAAATTGTTTAAATTCCATATTTGTACCAATTCCATAAAATCTCTCGCTTTTTTGGCCAACTATGAATGGAAAGGAATTAATTCAATTCCCCAAAACAGCAATAAATTGAAGATGTCATTGTGTCCATAAGGTGTTTTTGTTTATATTCATTCACCAATGATTTTGCTTCGTTCATTTTTGCCTTTTTTATTCTTCTTCTCTATACTAAGCAATACAAGCTTCGTACATTAACGTATTACCCTTAACACATTGCTCTCTTTTGCTTTTGCGCCTTTTGTGTGTTTGCTCCATAAACGTATGTAATTTATAAAAATTCCCGCAAAACATACGCTCGCACTCAATAAAGATAAAACTATGCAAACATTTATATATGTATATATATACATATATATATATATCTATATATATTACATATTTCTCCTATGGCAGCATATTTTGCAATCGTTGGTATTTATTTATGTTCTGAAATTCTATTTTTAGTAGTGTACAACAACAAATCAAATAACATAAATGAGCACAAAAATCAGTAACAACAGTAATAGCAACAACAAAAACAAGAGAGATTTTTATGTTTTCTGCTATTATGAGAGTAAAATGTGTGCATACCTTCTAACGAAATACAAACTGCGGGCCATGTGTTTATTTAGTAGAGTAGCAAACACCTTGCTTGAGAGATCATTGATACATGATTTAACGTTTCGTTTGGGCTTTAAACTCGAAAAATGCTTATTACTTAATAGCGATTTACATTCTCTGTATGCTTTTTAAATACTCAACTTATGTCTTTCGGCTGTTACCGGATAAAACGGACGCTTCAACTTGTAGCTTTACAGGTTTTTATGTCCACATTTAGAGAATGAGAAATGAGAGTATTGTAGATTTGTCATTCCACTTGTAAGATCAAGAAATTCACATTTAAATTGTACGTCGATGTATCCCTGCCCATCTGGTGCGTGGTATATAAATCCAGATGATCGTAGAAACAGCTATAAAAAATTGAAATTTAATTTAAGCGATAGGCAGGGGTTGAATTTGAATTTGAACTTACTATGCTCACCTGTGGCGTGATAAACCACAAATTGCCCCTAAAATTCAAAAGCATTTATTTACGCGAGATGCGACACCTACATTAATGGACGTCACCTTGGTCCTCAATTCAAATAATTAATTAATTGTCTAACAAAAGTTTTCGTAACAAAAGACGTTATTACCATGCGAAGCCTAACTTTTCATGAGATCGCTTCTAAAAGATTGAGGAATCGATTTTTTCTAAACGCCTCAAGCTTTTTGTATTTATGTGTAGCCACATAAGATTTATTTTCCATTATCCATCTTTTATTCTGAACTTGTTTGTGGATCTGTCTTACTGTCCGTCTTGTCTTTTAGTGTTCAGTTTGCATGCCGTCATTTTGCTTACACGATATTGCGTTGTCTTCGCAACGTGTGTGCAAAATTTCAGCTTGGTCGAACATTTAAAAGTGTCCAAAATGTCGATAAATATCTTTCCACTTGATTTTTCTCGTGGTGGCCGCCATTTTGCGTATAGAAAAATAATTTGTTTCTTAGTGCATTGTCATCTTAGTTAAAGGTGTATGGAAAATATCATCATGGTGCGACATTTAAAACTGCTAGAAATATCAATTGGCTTGGAGCAGCGAGTTAAATAAAAGCTGTTAAAAAGGTCA